TTGCATAAAATAGTTAAAGAAAAGAAAAATATTAGGTGTTCAAACAATTTATAACAATATACTGCTCCATGTGTTCTGAAGACATGTTAGTTCTTCTTTCAGTTAATATAAGTTTATATTTACTGAATGACCTTTCCACATCTACTGATGTAATTGAAGCATATTTCATGTCAGCTGCCATAGTAGGTGTAAAGTTGGATGGGAGTTCTCCCTCAGATTCACCACTCAGAATCGAAGACAACTGTTTCAGCTTTTGAAGGCCAGTATTTTATGTAATCAATTGAGATACTTTTGTTTTAATTTCAGCTCCAATCCTTCCAGGTATGTTTTCCATTGCTAAAATAACTTTATGCACAATATTTAAAGAGTGATGTAAAGATAAATTTGCTTTTTCTAATTGTTTAATAGAGTTAACAAGAATGAAAAAGTGTGTTTTAATAAATGTTAGTTCATTTTTTACTGACTCTTTATCAAGCATTCTTGTGCATTTTTGAATGCTAATCACAGAATTGTCTTTTAATTTATGCATAATATCTTTAAGTTCTTCAAAATGATCTGCACTAAAGCATGCTGCATCGATCCATGTCCCCCATCTGGTTAATATGGGTTCGGGAGGTAAAGGAGTACTTGGTAATGTTTCTTTATAGATATCCACTCTTGATGGTGATTTTAAAAAACACTTTTTTCAAGTTATTTACCAATGTATTTATGTCAGGATACAACTCTCTAACTTTTTCTGCAATGCGTTGTAGCATATGTGCAGCACAAGTAACATGAATCATATTTGGGTACAGTATTTCTAATATGCCTGCTGCTTTAATCATGTACGGTGCAGCATCTGACAACATCAATAAAACTTTTTCATCACAGCCACCACCTGGCCATAATAATTTTAAACCATCGTTCACAAAACGTGTAATTGTCGAGTGATTAGTTTTTTCCAGTTGCTTACATGCAATGAGAAATGGGCGACTTAATTTATCACAATTTAATGCACCAACTAAAAGATTAGATACATAGTGGCCATTTATATCGGTTGTTTCATCGACAACTATCCAAATAAAAGAATCTTCTAATGATTTTCTAATATGTTCAATTGCTTGGATGTCACATGGTTTTAGATAGTTTTTTCTCATAGTACTCTCATCCGGTATATGCTTGTTGGTATATTTCTCTAAGAAACATTTAAATTTAGGCACTTGTAATTTGTACCAAGGTATATTGGCAGCAATCATACTCGTACATAAATCTTCATAAAAATTAGATTCTGGTTTTTTTGGTACTGATAAAAGAGCTTGTTTCATTTTTAAATCATTGCGTTTAGGTTTCGATATGAAAAGCAGTAGAAGCATGTTGTAAAATTTGACTTTTTTTTTTACAAGGTACTTGTTTGGTACAGACCTGACAAAAGACAATGGATCCATCTGTGGTAAATATATTTGAAACTTTATTGAATGGTTCAATCCATTGATTCAATAAAGTTTTAAAACTAGATGAAATTTTCGGCATTTTATTTACCAAAACACACCAAACTTGACACTTAAAACTTAACAAAAATTTAAACTGAATTTATAACGATTATTTGATATCTGTATTCCGTGATATCAGTATATCACAGATAGAGACGTTGAGTAGTCTACACACATACGCAGAAGCATAGGACAATGAAGTGTGCGGAACACGATCAGTGCTACCACGTAGAACGAGGGAATTACTACCATAGAAATATAGAATACTATCTATAAAATTCTATGCTTACTACCATGGTTCCGTTTATAAAAATAAGATATAAGGAATATATAGAAAAAAATGTAGAATTGATTTTCTTATCAATTTTATGTTCTCTTTCATATCCTTTCGTCAAGATAAATAATATGATAGGTACTATAAAAATTTTTTTTATAAGCTATTAGATTTTTTATAAAATATTCAAATTAGACCCCAATATACCAATATATTCCTAAAACATATTTTTTGCACAAAATATTCTTTAACCTCGAAATATTCTTTTTTATGCTCTAAAAACTTTTGTATATCAGTTTATAGATAAATGAATCGTCCAGAAAGCTTATCAAATTGAAACTGCATACTCTCAGTAAAAAGATGTAAAAACATAAAAATCCGGTCTCTAGACCACTTATATGCATCACTAAGACATGTTTCTATTCTAATATTACCAAATTTCTTTAAAGTAATTAATGATTCAATATGAGACGATTATTTCATGACGATGTTTTAAATGATGATAGTTGTTTAAATCACTGCAGCCATACTTAGACCAAGTATTTGATTCATGTGAAAATAAAATACACGGCCAACAACATAATTTTTGCGTTTTTTGACAACCAGACAACAATTTGTTAGATATATATTAATAAGGATTAAAGTAAAGAAAATTGTTTTTACAATCCTGAAGTGTTGGTGTAGGTCTCCCGTTATTTATAATATTTTGCTTTTCAATGTTGTTCAATGTGTTTGGGACACCATCATTCAGTACAATTCTAATAAAATACAAATTATAAAGTTGATATGAAAGTTATTTTAAATTACTATCTTTTACATCATTATTGACAATGAGTCGACATTTTACAAACTGCTTGTCTGATCTCCTACTCTTAGTTTTTCAATAAATGAAATATCCGATTTGAGTGGCTGTATGTTAGCTGACGAGGATACATTATTTACAATTTGTTGCTCCTGAATGTAAATAATTGTAATTTAGTGAAATGTGTTGGATATTTTGTTTTCTTGTTTATTTTATTATTTTCTAAATTAATTTTTACCAATTTGTTTTCTTCGTAATCTACTGTACTTTTATCTTTCTCCTCAATAGTGGCCAATTTTAGTTTAAGTAATTCCTATAAAAATCTTATAAAAATATTTTTTTAAATAATTTGTGTACTTTTACTACAATGTCTCTCTAAAACACACATTTTTCATTTAAGTAGAGACTATCGAAAAAAAAAAATTATAAATAAATAAAAAATATTCTAATTAATATTATTACTGTTATAAAAGTGTATTCATACAAATATAATGTTATACCTACTACTACTACTACTATCCAGCTTTAAAGGCCATTAAGGCCCATTGCTGCAAAACAAATCTCCTTCCATCTGTCTCTGTTCATAGCCGCTTCAGTAATATTTTCTATCCCAAGTTGATTCAGTTCTTTTTTATTTTTGTCCATCCATCTCTGTTTTGGTCTTCCAATCGGCCTTCTTCCCTGAGGCGTCCATCTTAGTACAGCATTTGCTATTGACTTAGCCCTTAGTCCATGTCCAAGCCACCTCAGTCTTTTGTGGCGTATTTCCGCTATTATGTCTGGTTTTCCGAATAACTCCTATAGTTCTCTGTTAGATCTTATTTCGTATGTTTGGTCTTCGTTTCTTTTTGGTCCGTAAATCTTCCTAAGGAATTTTCTCTCCATGATAGCTAGTCTATTTCATCCCTTAGTTGGTTGTCACAAGGATTGGGGCTACTTGTCCCAAGTATTTTAAATGACAAATAAATGCAATTTCAACTTTTATTTTTATACCATCCATTTGTTATAGAACAAAAACAACTTCAACAATCATTTCAATCATGTTTACATAATAACGTTCAAACTTCATACTAGAAAAATTAACAAAAGCAATAGATAACAATATTACTTAATACAACTTAATTAAATATAATGATCTCATTTTTAGATAGTAACTAGTTAAAACTTTATACTAGAATAAATAACAATAGCAAAAGGTAAATGATAATTCGCAAAACAACTTAAATATTAAAACTTGAGTAGAAAGATATGATTAAACCGATATGTTAATCAGAACTTGCATCAGTTACAATAGGACTATTACAGTTGTGACTAGGGTTGCCACCTCTCCGGGTTTCACCCGGAGAATCCGGGTTTACGTATAAATCTACGGGCTCCGGGTTCAGTGAATTATTTTCCGGGTCGGAGATAAAGATAAGATAACATCGATTTTTATTATTATTTTTTTTATTAGTTTCCGGTATAAAAACCATTTATTCAAGATAACAAGAATAATAAGATTATGAACTATGGTTTATGACTTTATGAGTCTACGATTACGATTTTACGAATCAGTTTCGACATCACAGTCGAGTGTCGAGTTTGTTCAAATCCGAATATCTGCTTTTAATTTTTGTGTCAGTGTAACCGTGCATCGATATTATAAAACTACACAGAATTTGAAAAGTAATTCATTAACGACCACATTTATGACTAAACGACCTTTTTTTTTTTTTTTTTGCTTATCGGCCTGTTTCCGGGGCTGCTTTCTTTCAAAGGTGGCAACTCTAGTTGTGACACACATAATGTATATTATTACCAGCGGCACACTAATTATGAGACCATTCTTTACACTCCGTGCATTGAATCCATTTTTCTCTAGGGCGTGAGTTTGAAAAATGTTCTAAACATACCAAACAAAAACATTCATCCTCTTCTATGTGGTTTGTTGACAGTTTTTTTTTTTTAGGAACTTTTGGGACACTTTGTTTTCTTCTTTTTGGTGGACCGATTTTTGGTATTTGGTTTTTGATAGTTTGATTTTCCTCATTAATTTTCTTGTGCCATCGATTTTTAATTGGACTATCAGTAAGAATAGCAGTTTGTTCGTCAATTATTTTTGGTTGTTTTTCTAGCAGGTGCTTTTGGAAACGGTCGGATATCAATCGGAGACACAATGGTTTGGCTTTTTTAATAATTAGGTTCTTCGGTATAACTTAATTACACGACTGGTATATTTGGCGAATTTGTTATATCTATATCGATTTCAGATTCGTCATTTTCATTAAATGAACTATTCGATTCTACGTTTGTTGTGTTTTGAGTTGTTGAATTTGATCTATCTGTTTCATAACTCTGTGAAAAATCAATATCGGGAAAAATATTTCTGTTGAATGTGCACCTGAAGCCAAATTGAATATTTGTAGGTGTGATAGAAAGAGGATAATCTTGAAAAACAGTAGTTGGTATATCATAGATGGTCATTGTTTTGCCTGGATTATTTATGATCCAAGAATCACCAGCAGAATTAAAATATTTTTTGAATGGCCCAAACACTGTTCTGTCGAGAGGTTGCAATTTGTGTGAACAATGGGGAGGAAAAGATAGCATAATGATGCCATTATTTTTTGCAAAATTAAGATCCTCAATACTCAAATGCGATCCATGGTCCAATAATAATAATACAGGTCGTTCTGTTGTACTTTTTACATGGTTATGGAAGCGTTTAAGAAATAAGATAAAGTCTTCTTCTTGCATCAAACCAGAAGGATTAGCTGAACCTTTGGAACCTGGTGGACCGTTTGCTAGAAAATGATCTTTATAGTGGAGACGAAGGAACACAAACAATTGTGGTATATTGTAATAGAGATTGTGATAACCAACCCGTGTGACAACTAGCCCCGGTCTCCCCTACCTATTATATTATAATATGTATGATTCGTAAAAAATTGAAAAAAAAATAAATCTGGTGGCCAATGATGATGTTATTTGTCTTTTATTCCAAGTCGAACGGTATGATATTTTTTTGTCCATGATAAAAATTTTATATATTCTAGATTTGATTAGATTTTTTTATTCCCAGGAAGAACTTACTGACATCACCACGGGTGTAGATAAGCAAAGAACTTTGGTTATATGCCATGGTAATGTCATGCGCCCGAGAATTGCAGTTTTTACTACAATGGCACCATAAGTCATAACTACTGTAATAATGTAATATCGGACTAGACTACAACCAAACGAAGGTAAGTTTATACTATTATTATACACGTTGAAGTTAGATACGCCTATTACGATTACAAACTCGCACTTCGCAGGTAAGTACCTACTCACAACATACAAACACTGGACTACTGGACAGCCGAGAGAAAGGAGACTGGCCAACAAACGTGATGAGCAGATGCAGATGCAGCATACAGAATAAAGTGGCCCAGTTTTTTACATTCGGCTTGTTAATTTTATTATACCTATTTGGGAAAAAAAGCCCCGATATTAAAATATGGTAAAAAAAGCACCGTACCACTAAATACAGGGTGTGGCACTGAAACGGCCGATTTTAAAAATAGATTTTTTGAGTAGTCATTAAGAAAGAATTCTCACTAAATATTATTAGTTCAAAGCAGGGACTGGAACCGTACCGAAAAGAACCGGTTTTGGAACCGGAACCCTTTCAATATTGGGAACCGAAACCTCACCGAAACCCTAATTCAAATTAATTTTAAAACCGGAACCTCACCGGAACACTTATTTAAATTTATTTAAAAACCGGAACCATTACTTATATTTATTCAAAAACCGCAACTTAACCGCAACCCGTACTTTTTTTTAATGGTTTTTAGAATTAATTTCGGTTTTGTTATATCATTAATTTTATTTAATATATCTGTCAATTGTCATTGGTACATGGTAGATAATATGAAATAAACAAATACGTAAATCTATTATTATTATTAAGAGGTTAATTATACAGTTTTGGCAGTCAATGGAAGACATGCATCCAGAATTGTGTGTACTTGCTAAAATAGTGTTTGCTGTTCCTTCTACGCAACTACGCAAGTCAGTGTTGAGCGACTATTTTCTGGGCTTAAATTTATTTTATCCCCCTACAGGAGTAATATTACATCTAAACATTTAGAAGATCAATTAATAGTTCGTACAAATAGATTGTTTGAAAAAAAAAATTTAACTAAAGAGTAAGTTTTGCTATATAATTTACATTTTTATAAGTTTTGTTTTATTTTAAAATTTAAAATATTATTTGTTACATATTATAAGTTTATTACTTAATTTTATGTATAAGTATTAAGTACATAACATTTTAATTTGAAAAGGGTTTTTTTTTATTTTAAATAAGATTTTATTATAATCCATTATGATGTTTTAGACGTTTAAGTTATCCTTATCATCAAATATTCAAAGGTATATAATTTAATTGTCATAAGTACCAATATTATAACTAATGTATGAATAATATCTTTACATTTCAAACGTTTTATTTTATCTTTAACGTAATTATGTGTATTATATTAATTTTGTGTATGAGTAAAATGATTTTTAATTGTCACTATCATTAAGTATTCTAAAATGTTTTGATTTTCACTTTTTACAGATTATTATAAGGTAAAGCACATACTTATAATTATTATATAATATCTATGAGGTGAATAAAATAAAGTAATCAGATAAAATCCTCTGAAAGTGGAATAGACTTTCCAATCTACTATCTTCTTAAACTCCTGACCGCAAGTCTCTAGCCTAAGAAAATATAATATCTGGTAACTGGTGATAAAAAAAAAATTATTTTAAAAATCTTAAATACTGAATAATAATGCAACAAGTAGTAATTGGTAAATGCTACATAGTAATCTAGTAAAATACAAAAAGTGTTATTTGAAACGGGATAGTACATGAAGTTATTTAGTTCTTTCCTTTGTCCTAAGCAATTGGTAGAATATCTGGTAGAAAAATTAGTATTGACGCCAACGAAACTTATCAAATATTTCTTACATGAGTGTTAACTTTCAAGTATAAAAATTAAACAGGAATTTCATTTCAGTTTTCATTTTTTAAGAACCGAAAAGAAACCGAAACCTACATTTTTGTTATTTTAAAAACCGAAACCGAAATTAAACCGAAAAATAACCGAAACCGAAATTCTAGTTTTTTTTTTAAAACCGAAAAAAACCGTAACCGAAATTTTAGTTTTCTTAAAAACCGAAAAGAAACCGAAATTTTAGTATTTGTAAGAACCAAACCAGAACTGTCAAAATCATCAAGGTTCCAGTCCCTGGTTCAAAGACAACATGCCATTTAGTAAACACGGAACAGTGGAGTGGTAAACAACGCTTATGCGATAAAATCGTTTTACAAAAATAATGACAGTTACGTAGCCGCACAGTGTGAATTTCGTCTCCATTTTAATCTTAAACGCCATGAGTCGGTACCATCGGTTAAGGCTATTAAAATATTGATGGCCAACTTTGAAGAAACTGGTTCAGCATTAAAAAAAAAGGCCTGTACAAAAAAAAACCATCCTCACACCTGAAAACGTCACGTCTTCTGTCAGAGCCGCTCTCATAGAGAGTCCGAGACGTTCTGCACGAAAACATACGTTATGGTTAAATTTATCCAGTAGAAGTCTAGGTCGGATTTTACACAGCAACCTAATTAGGCAGCCCAGATCTTCCCAAATAAAAACGATTAACGTTAGGCTTGGATGCAGAAGACTTTAATTTAAATGTTAAATACCTACGGTGAGATACTGTATATCTGTACCTACTTAAAAAAAAATTAATTTAAAATTAGTTTTTTTTATACCCGTTGCCACGCGAGAAGTTGACTGTTGCTAGATTGACAGAAGCGGCCAATTTCTCCCACTATGTGACAGTCGGCTATGTAATAGACGCGTGCACAGTATATTATGTACAGGTACATGTTCTTGTCGACGACGGCGCACGGGCTAGTAAAGTGATGGGAATGGGCGAAAAAAGACAAGTTTTGATAGCCGCTCGAGGAACGGAGTATAAAAGTCTTGGTAATTTACATTGGCCACTTGAATTTTTTATTACAATACAATATACATTTATATTTACCGTGGGCTTGCTATAATATTCGTGGCAATTGTAAATTTGTATGTATTTGATCTATTAAAATATTAAATAAATGCTATAAAAGGTTGTTTTCGTATACCCCAGATGTAGATTCTATTTCACTTATGTAATGTTAAATCATTGTTTTCATTTACCTATCCAAAAAAAAGAGTAAATATAAATTTTTTTCTAAATTGATTTAATACTCCTGTCTTATATAGACAATATTACATATCTAGGTTAAAGTCGGCTGACCAGTAATTTATGTAATCCAATCATCCGCTTCGTTATTTGTCTTCCGTCCCGTGGAAAGTGGTCCCAAGTTTGGGCCACTCGGGGAGAATGCGATACTGTACCGACAGCACTTCCACACTGAGTTGGTGGCCGGGGAAGACGTCGAAGCAATAAAGCGTCGAGTGCGCTGATATGACTGCACAGTTCGTGATTAAGATTAGTGGCGTACACAGATATTTTCAATGGGAGGGGGGGCTTACATTTAAACAATTATATACATACATATATATATATATCTATATATATATAAATGAATGTATGTCAGTGTGTGTGTCTGTGTGTCCATGTTACCATGGTTACCAAGGTTGCCATGGTTACTAAGGTTACCAAGATTTCATATCAATCTATATATATAAAAATGAATGTATGTCAGTGTGTGTGTGTGTGTGTGTGTCCATATTACCATGGCAACCATATCTGTATATAAAAAACAGTAAGCTGATTGACTGCTATCAACGCACAGCTCAAACCATTGGACGGATCTGGCTGAAATTTGGCATACAGATAGCTATTATAATATAGACGTGCGCTAAGAAAGGATTTGCCAAAATTCGCATTTTAAATAGGTGCTGAAACAGGGACATTGAGATTCACGATAGAAATTGGAAATTTTATTTTTATTTATTTATAGTTGCCATTGGTTACAGTCTACATTAGAAATTAGCATTTATTTATTGGTTGCCATTGGTTATTCGGGCAGATCAGGTACAAGCTTGCATCAAATCGAATTATTGAACAATGCTTACCAGGGTGGCAGAGTTGCACTTACCGCAGAAAATTACACCCAAAAGGAGTTCAACAATCATAATTTTTTTAAGAGTTGCGATTTTTTACGAGCAACCAAATTTATTATATTAATCCACAGTATTACATCAAAATAAACTTGGTATAACTTTGATACTTTAGAGTTAAATCATACACTTCCGTACAAACAGCACGGGGTCCGCGATCTACCGCAGGTAGATTGCCTACCTGATAATGTACTGCTGCGATTCAGAATTTTTATTCAGGGCAACGGGAAAGATAAGATAAATTTTGAACACCATACACGTTAATGAATTGAACAAAGTTTGAGTAGGTAGTATTGAGTTGATCCATTTAACGGGCGACGAAGTGCACGGGATCAGCTAGTATATATATATAAATCAAAATAATATGTTGTCAACTCATCAATGACTTCTTCAGGATTTAAATTTATATTACGGTATACCGACAAAATGGTCAATCCATTTAATCTGTCCTGTGTAAATAATTATTTACATAAAATTATGCATTCTACGATTGATAAAAGCCTTTTTCTATTATTAATTATCTGTTTGACCTATAAAATAAATAATAATGATACCTGTTACCTATTATATTTACATATAATTATAATATGTTATTAGTATACTAAGATATATTTTACCTATCATCATCCAAAGCATCAACAATTGATTTTTGTTTTTTAGAAAAAACACTTAAAAAACTATCAGCTTTCAAAGCAGCAGTTTTATGGTATTCCAACAATGAATGTTTATTAAAAACCTTTTATAAAAAATTAAATATAATAATATGTATAAATGCATTATATTATTATGAATTATGTTTGTAATATTAAAATTAAATTAAAAATAATTAATAAAATTACTTCTTTAGCCTTTTTCAAATTGTTAAATGGTTCAGAGGACAAAAAACCTAGTTTTTGATTTCCTACACCACCACATTTAGCAAAAACCACGCAAAATCGACAAAATGCACCAGATTTTATTTCGGAATACAGTAACCAGCTGTATGAAGTTAACCAGTGGTGTTGAAACTTTAATTTTCGTTCTTTATTAGGTTCTAGTATAGGAAACGAGTAAGACACAGGCGGAATCCATGCATTTGTAAGAACCTAGAAAATGGACAGTAATAAAATTCACAATATAAAAGTTAATATAATAACATAATAATCATAAAATAAATTAATAATTTACTATATGTTTTTCATTATCAGTTAAGTTGCGATCCACTTTTATAAACATACCAACATCATTAACTCGGGACATTACAACATTTGAGGACGATGTACCTATAGTAATTATTTTGTACATAATGAGTAATCGGCTCATTAGCAATGACCTAAGGTGAAATTAAAAATATTTTTACAATTCTCGATTATTATTTAAAAATGTATAGCTATTACCTACAGGTAATTATTTAGTATAACTACAAAGCTACACGCGTACATACAATATGTATATAATAATAATTATACACAATTCAATAAAAGATAGGTATAAAGAGAAATTTATTTTAACCATATTAATCATTTTTTTGTACCTAGGTCCTAGGTTGATAATATAATGTATTAAATATTTACCTGGTTCCTCCGAGTTAATTGTATCACAAATTAGTGATGATTCTTCTTCTGCTATTGAAATAGCAGGCACGGGACTTCTTTTATTCGTATTAGTAGAAAAATATTCGTTTATTCTTTTCATTTTTATTGTTTTATAAAATATTTAAATTGTAAGTACAATTTACTAAACGTCCAAAGCGTCAGGAATTTGATTGAAAACTGAGAAATAGATTCTATACTATAGTATTAGCGATACTGCGATAGCTATTAAGGCATATTATATCGGATTACACGATTTTCGACACACATGTTTGTGTTTGAACAAATTTCTCAATAATTTCATTAATTTGTAACAAGTTATCAATAATATCTACAATATATTATATAAAAAAACTGGGTTGCTTATAAGTTATAATATAATGGAGTATAATTTGGAATATCCCATATCTAATAATAACTTCGGTGACGACGGTCTTCTCGCCGTACATTTTTAATCGAAACTCGATTGTGACGGTAACACTGAAATTCCCTTAATTTAATTTTGTATTTATTTTTATTAGTACAATTAATTTTTTTTTTTTAAATTGTCATCATTTTTATTATATATTTTTACGTAATTACGTAAACTGAAAAATACTCAAAGGGGGGGGATTGAACACCGCCCCCCGCGTGTACGCCACTGACTGAGATTAAACAACTCGGCCGACTCTTCCTGAGTTTTCGTCAAGGTTAAAGATAATATAATTGAGGAACGACCTTTGGCAACAACAATGCTTGAGGAAAATATTTTACATAGAAAACTGGAAGAACTACTAACGTTCCAACAGGATGTGTATCAATACTATCCATTTTATACTAATTATATAATACGTTATATCTCGCATTATACAAAGCAAATCTGAATAATATATTGTATTATTACATATTATTTGTTATTAATTATTATTACTTATTATAACGTTCTTGCTAACTATATTGGGCACCAAAGCATCACTGTTTTATGAATTGGAAAAAATCATCTACAGGTATGGAAGCTGATGCGATATTAGAAAGTTTTTCGTTTAGCTTAAGAATGCATAGACTTAGATATTATGATAAACTGATCAGTAGTCTATATAAAATTATAGATTTTAGATTTATTAGATTTGTATATTACACGCAATATAATTTGTTATCAGGGGATAGCGGCAGTAGTGTGTCCAGACGTCTAAACCAAGTCTTACCATATGGCAATGAGCTTAGAGTTAAAAACGTTAAGTGTCGAAACTATCTTTTTAGAAATTATGTTATGAAACTATATAACAGCACTCGCGAAGCGGGCATATTGCCATAAGCGACAAAAGCTATGGCTCTACACGCAGCCACGTCACATTGATCATGACTCATTTACCGATGGCGTTCTTATAGCTGTATAAGTCTCTATAAGCTATATTAGTATAATTCATTGACCTATGAATTTTCAAATTTCCAATGTGTAATTTATAGCCATACAGTTTTCTTTATCCTTGCTTTTTCACTTCACTGGACTTTAATACTTTATAGTAGACTGGAGTATTGAAATCTGGAACCCTAGTCCGTTCTAAACTTCTGTGTCTGCAACTGCGACTGGAATACCTTTTAAATATTCTATGCCAGTGCTTTTAAGTTCTTACGCCATCTGTGGATTACCACCTCATCGCTGTCGTATAGTGAGTATAAGCAGTGTGTGCTACAATTAACGTCACATCTATAGTAGATTAAAGACCTACAGAGTCTTCATACATGATAATAGTTTGATCTCCACAGTCCACATTGTATTGTAAGACATTTTTCACATTCATAATTTTTGGTTACTGAAACGACTTTGTTTTCTTTAACGAGTAACGGTAAAATCTCAGGCTCGGCATGAATATAATTATTTATTTCCATAAGTACAAGTATTTAATATAGGTAAAATCCTCTACTATTTAAAACAGTTGACAATGATATTTTTACCGAACAATTTGAAGACATATTAGCTTTTCTTCCTGAACCTAAAACTCTTGGAACTAATAATATAGAAGAATAATAAATGATTTGTGGCCAAGAAAAACCCACACGGCATAAAAACTTTGCCGTAAAAAGGGTCACCTTAAAAAAAAACCAACTACATAATAATAATACACAAACTGCATTATTGCATTGTACTGGACAAAGAAACACCTATTAGGTTACCGGCGTACATAATAATAATAACCATATCTACAAATAACGAATACTGGCCAAGGTGTAGTTGTACATATTTAATAATAATAAGGTCGTTACCAATTTTGGGTGCGGTGCTGACCATCGTCACCAGGACGTCTTCGGTGAGGCGGTGTTCTACTCAATCTGCAGAGTTATTTTTCGGAACATTGAGAAAAACGCTCCCGGTGACCGATGTAAAGATCTACAGTGGCGGCGGCCACGGCTTCGCAGGTAAAAAAAGAAGTATTCCCGAAATTTTTTAAATAATTATTTTTCGAGATTCAAGATCCTCTTTTTCCTCATTTGACTATGCATTATTTTCTTTATGTTAATTCTAAATAAGTACTGAAATATCTTATAAAATATGAATAAGATATTATTTGCTAATCAAATGAAAACAGATTATTAAAAAAATGCAAAAAAACAAGAACGAAAATTAATATTATAATTTCAGGATTATTTTCATAAAGCATATATGGTCAATATTGAACATAAGTAACAGAAGAATTGTGTTCCAAGACAAAGGATCATATAAAATTAGTAAATAAATGCGATGAGCAGAAAGATGAATTAAAAAGCAATGAATCTTCTTCAAATATACAAATTTGCAATGATGAATGCATATCGGTAGAAGTCTGTGAAAAAAAAAAAACACTTAAAAACAATATTACAATTATATATTGATTGGAATATAGTTTGTGTGATATGAAAGACCAGTTAATAGAAACAGAAAAATTGAAAATCATTTTTCAAGACAAATGCAAACATCTGAGGGTACAAAATGAGGAACTAAATAACAAATTTGAAATAGAAAATAACAATAGCATTAAAAATTGTCATAAACCGAAGATCTCTGTAAACGAATTATTCAATTTGAAGCTGTTACTAAAGGTCTTGAGATGCAAAACAAAACACATATAGTGGAAATTGATGAACTAAAAGAAGCAAAATGTGTCGCAGAAAAAAAAATTAATGAAATAATTGAAGATCTCTATTGCACCATTCAAGAATTAAGAAACGAACTAGCTACTGCTAAGTTAGATACCGAAAATACTGAAAAATGCTTTAAAAATATAAATGAGAAAGACAAAAATGTTTTGAACATAACATTTGTTTACTGAAAAATGATATTGAGAACTTAGAAACTGAACTTAAGTTTTATAAATGCGAATATGATTCATTAATGAAAAAACATCTGTTAAATGAAAAAGAACTCTCAAAATTCAATGGGATGGTTCAACGGTTACAAATTCGAGAATTTGAATTGAATAAAGAAAACGAAGAAAATAAAGAACATGTGTCCAACGCTATGTATAAATGGGGATGTAATAAAACAACAACTTGAAAAAACAATACAAAAAAACAATGAATTGACATGTCACAATGATAATTTAAGAGCTGAAAATGACGTACAGTGTCAAGATATCGATGAATTGAATAATACTCTCATATCTCTAAGACAAAACGAATCGTGTGTGCGAAAAGATTTGATTGTGCATAAAGAAAAACTAAGGAAAGCGGACGAAGAAATTGCCGATTTGAATTCAGAAATGAGCTACGTTAAATGTGATCTTCACAAAACTTGTGCCAAACTGACTTGTACGGAACAAAAGCTACAAAATACAGAGTGTAAACTGAACTAAGAGATATGCCTAAAAGAAGAAATCACTGAGAAATATTGTAATATGGTAAATTGCCTGATATATTTTAGGGGCTCGTTGAAATTAATTTGAAATTTTTAAAATTGTGACAGGATTAGGTACTTACTTACTTAATATTAAATATAATATTTAATAATATATATCTACATGGTTATACATTATATTAATGAGGGCATAGAATGTATTGAATTTATATGTCGAGGTTTTTCAACGAGGCATTTGTAAATGCCGTTGTTAATTATTTCGCTTAACGTATCTAATAAACTCCTTGAGTCTTTATTCATTAATATACATTAAAGAAAAATAAATGTTTTTATTTACTTGTTGCATAATGATTTAAATAAACAGTACTTACATCCTCTAAGTTGTTGATTTTTATATAATTATTTTCTTCGCAATGTAATAGAGCTTTAGCTACAGTATTGGAAAAAAGTTGAACAGCTAATCTAACATTCATTCTGCCTGTTCCCTCGACTGAAATATGGTGTTGTGTCAATTTATGTGCCATTCTAAAATCCACATTATTTAAATCCACCAATTCTTGAAATATGTTTTTTCCTATATATTTTCCATTTGGAAGAATAAAACCTCTAAAAGTTTGGTAAATATATTGGAATTATGAATTTAATTTTAATATAGTACAAGGTAAATCTACTTACTGATCAAGTAAATGATACCTTGCTAACTTAATTAAATGTGGTACGTCTGCAAATACATAAATATTTTTGTTTGTAATAGGATGTGGGAATGAAATGTTGGTGATTGAATAATTTAGACTTCGCCATAAGCCCATATTTGCAGAACCCATTTCATTGACTATGGAAGTACCTTAAACCAATTTTATGTAGCTCTTCAATTATGGAGTTTAGAATGTCTCTGATCATATGTGTATCAAAATTATAGTAAATCACTTGTTTCCAATTAATTAATAAACCTATTACAAAATAAATTATGTATATTATACTATACCGGGTGTAACAGAAATATATGACAAATTAAATAACTTGTATTCTAATCAATATTTTTCGTTTTTTTTTGAGAGCTGAGGAAAATGGGAAGTACGAAACCATGTTTTTACAGCCGAATTTTCGTACCAGAACGGCCTCTTAAGTTAAATTAACTTACATAATTTAAATTTTTATTTTACAAACATTCTTTAGTAGAAACTTCATATAGCAAGTAAGCCCCTAACAGTAAATTATGAGTATATATAAACCTCCAATGTTGAAAACCCCTTAAGTGTTCATTTACTCGTACTGTTGCCCTAATCTGAATAAAAAAAATCAGGTCTCTGAATTCTTCCTAAATTCTAAGTAAAATAATAGGATGTGTTAACACATAATCGTTTTTCATAACTAAATTTTTTACTGTGCATATGATATTGTCAATCAAATAAATAGTGAATAAAATAAAAATGAATGAATACGTGTAAAACAATGATGTAAAACAATTCTAAACTTATTTAACTACCTATTTAGATTAGTGTGATGTATTTACCTGTAATGCCACAAAATTCAATGATTTTGGACTCTACTTTCACTTTACGTTCTTCGAACAAATGATATCTCAGATTCGGGAACGTAAACAATTCTTTTCTACACGCTTCGTATGTGCAAACTATCCTGGTTGTTTTTAATTTGTTATTATTTTCACTGCCAGGATGATACTTCGTGATGTGAGTATCTAACGACTTCTTATTCAAGAATTTCTTGTCACAAAATTGATAAAAACAGTCTTTAGCGGGTAGAAGATCCGACACAAGTTTTTCATTATGGAATTTTCGCACATGACAATACAAACTTTTTTTTTGGGTAAATTTAATGCCACAAGATGGGCATTTGATTTCGGATTTCATACCAAATTAACACTTCAATCCACTTACATTGACATAGACAAATTCACAACAGTTTTTATACGTACCTACGTTATATAATTTATACAATAAACTTTATCTATAAATAACACACGGTATCATCGGCCGTACGATATTCAAACAGCAGAGGCAGCACATAGTTAACACATATATTTAGCCATGGTGCTTTCGATCATTCTGTGCTATGTATGATATAAATATAGAAAAGAAAGAAGAAATAGAAAAATGTAAATAATATTTACATGGATAGTGTATTATATAAATATAAAATTATGAACCTCGTGATAGTGGTATAGTGGTATCTCATTCGGTGCACCTTAGCCTTTACTATGATTTTTAATGCAAACTTTTGTCATAATAACTATTTTTTCAATACGTCTTGTATTACGATTCTTTACCGTTACTCCTTAATTTTAATTTAAACACGTCATAACACAGGTAGACTACCAAATATTCGTATTGAAAAAAATTCTGAGGCATAAAAAGTGATAATAAAATCATAATATTATTTATTTCAAATGTAGTACAAGATTCCTTATGAGATTATCTAAATTTATCAAAAAAAAAAATGTCTATAAGAAAGTCAAATTAAATTTCTATGAGCGTTTGAAATTCAAATTTTTACAACATTGGATATTCACTCAATTTCTAATGTAGAGAGTTCCTTATTTTGTTGTAATTCAAAAACGAATTACTGTAGATACATGAAAATTTCACTGAATGTTTATATTAGCATTTCCTATAGACCATACAATTTTGACTTAGGTACCACAGACCCCAAACACATCTTAGCTGAATCGCAAATTAAGAAAATGCACAGACTTAAAAAATTAATTGAATTATACACTGTTCGCACTATGGAAGACCCATATATTATTACTGAACTTATGAAAAACGGAGGTTTATTTGACTTTTTACAAGGTATCTTTCAATATAATTTTTTTAATTTTTGTTTGTTGTATATTTTATATAACACCTAAAAACATTTAAACTTGTGTCTAGGTAAAGGACTTAGTTTAAAATTCCAACAATTTATCTGCATGTCAATTCAAAGAGCATCTGGTATGGTGTACCGTGAATTCCAAAATTTCATTCATCGTGCTCTTGCTGTTAAAAATATTCTGGTTGGAAAGAGTTGTATTGTGAAGATCACATATTTTTGTGTATATAAAGGTATAAGGGGAACAATAACCGTAATTAATATATAATTTAAATGAACCTGGCTTTTTTTTTTATTTTAGAGTTTAAGTATAACCACTATAATCATGATGTTTTCGATGTTAGCTAATATATTTATATTTTTTAAAATATACACTAAAATAACTGATCTGTACACAAAAAGATTAATATTATAAAATATGAATCAAACGCTTTAGGTTTAATTTAAGCTAGCTATAGGTATAAATATATTTATCGATTGTTGAAATAAAAATTAATGTATAAAATGGTTGATATGGGTTTTAAAGCTATAATAATAATAACATTATTGTTTGCTGTTTATTTAAAATGGTTGCTATTGACTTAAAAAAATAAAAAAACACACATCATTATAATATCAATACTGAATACATTCATCGCTCCGCTCAGAATCTAAAAGAAACGTTAGGTATCCAATTTTCTTTTTGAGCTGTTATTTGTAAAACATTTACAGATTTCAATTTTTTTAGTTTTTTTTTTCTATAAATATCATATATCAATAACGTTTTATCTGTTGGGCCAAAAAATGTAAAAATTTAATACAAGGCCCTGATATATTGTTACAATATCAATTGAAAAATATTTAAAATACATACCTAGGCACAATTTTTTTTTTATAAGCATTTAAAGATCGAATTTTGAGAAAATGTATCAAATTTAAAACTTTAAGTTCAAATTTGGACGAAATTACATATTAAAAAAACCTAGGATAACTATTTTAGTTATTTAGTTTTGATTGTATAACATTTTTCGTGTTTACTTGAAACTTCTAAAGTACACTATTATATATCTATGATACTATCAGGGTTTGTTGTTGATGTATAACGCGTTATAAGTACCTAATGGATATTGTGATATGATTAATTTGGAATGTACTATAGGTACCTATTATAGGTCATTTTTTTTTAATACTCTTGATAAGTATATAATATGTCTTATACCTAGACCACGAATTAAGATATACAGGATACCGAACGAACGTGTGATAAGTGAAGCCCGAACCTTCTCACTTGTTGGCAGGGCCACTAACACCATCTAGTGTACTATTTTACAAACTATGTCAATATTTATTTTCCCTCAGATTTTGAAATTATACAATATTACGAATTGAAATAATCTACATATAAATCTTATAAAATCATGATAATTATCACGAATTAAGATATATATTAAGATAATTCTAGACATAATATGGCTAAATATTTCTTTATAGGTCTATGATAATAAATAACTATATTATATTATATTTTGTATTCATCTTTAATCGCTGTGAGCTACGAGAGCATAGGATTCCATATTAAGTTGGAGTTTTGCTATTTGCTTAAAACTTGCCTGATTATATCTTTTTGAGACAAGTGCTGTGTCGAAAATTGTATGAGAATATCTAAAAGTAGATTTAGTTTTCCTAAACTTTCCCATGAAAAATGGGAAAAAGCTTTAGGATAAGTTTTAAATAAAACGTCTAGAGTTTGTGGGGACCACTTTGAGCCCCAAAACATTATAAATACTTGGGTATCAGGCGAAGGAAGTAGCAAGTACACCGTAAGCATAAATATAAAATAATTAACTTATATAATAAATATTAAAATATAGGTAAGATCCTACAATATCTTTATTGACTTATTATTAAAAAAAAAAACCTAAATTGTATAATTTTTAAATTGTGTACGAGATATGTTTAAAAAAGCCTCGTTTTGATTCACCTCAAATCTAAAGGATTTTTAACTTGCCCAGATTGAAATTGTTATGTTAATTAAACTGATCGAGACTTCATTTGAAATCCATGCTAAGAGTCCTAATGTTTTTGATGACACAGTAGAGCATTTTTTTAATAATAATATTATAATACCTTTTCCATGCAATGACCACAACACTGAAATTGTTGAATTTATTTTCACGTCATATTTGACAATGAGAATTCATGAATAATAAAGAAAAAAAAAAGTAAAAATAAGGTAGGGTGGAGTCGCCACCTTTGGCCAATACTCCATCTATGGTCAGCTCGTTTTTGTTTACCTTGTAAATAGTATAATCTATTCATTAAATTGCCCAGATATATATGCCCATAAAACTGGTGTAATTTATTCATTCCTTATGTACCTACTCTAGAATCCTCACTTATTTTTAATTACTTACTGTCTAGTGGTTTTAGAAATTTATATACATATATTTAAAATAATTCATGCATGTGCAGTTCATAATTGCAGGGCAAAATCAAATGGTAAAGTTATATATAATTACATTGATTTATTATACATTAGGATGTAGATAGACAAATTTTGATCAACAATAATATTAACAGAGAGTAATTGAATTAATGTGTTAAATTAAGACGAGGAATTTTTAGTTTTAAAAATATCTAAATATGTATGCAATTATTCAATTCAAATATGTTCAAAAAAAATGTATTTTATGTTTATTATTTTAAATACAGTAATATTATTTTTGTATCGACAATTTTCCAAATAAGTTTTTATTTGTACAAACCAAATTTAAATTGTATTGAAAAAATGTTTTATATTTTTTATTAATTTATACTATACACCTCTTGGTCATTCATATCAAAATAAAATAAATATGCAAAATCCAATTTTAAATATAGCTACTTAGTGTTGTTGTTTTACACTTTTATAGACAAATTTGAACTGCTTATAAATACTACTATAATTAAGGACTTATATTTTTTGTATAAATCTAAATGTTTGATATTAAACTAACACAGTTTCAAATTCATATGTATAGAAATGTAAATTATTATTTTTTAGCAGAACTATATAAAAATTAATTAAGGTATGAGAAACATGAATACTAATTAGTACTTAGTCATTTTTTATCTCCAAAAAAGAATTAACCAAATATATCCTGTTTTTATTTTAATTTTAGCATAAATAAAATGTAAGTGTTATAGATTCAGTTAGATATTTTTCATTTCCAAAAAATGAAATATTTAAAAAAAAAATGGGTTCAAGCATGTGAAGGACCAAGCTATATGAAAGACATAAATATAAGTACAGGTACACATTATAATATTCAGACATATTACATTATAACAAAATACAATTTATGTTTTATGAAACTTTACGTAGCACGAGCGTGTTCAAAACATTTTGAACCATCAAATTATATTGAAAAATTGCCAATAAAAAAACTCCTTGGATGGTCTCCAAAACATTACAGAGTTCTAAAATGTGATGCAGTTCCATCAATCTGTTTACCTGTAATTAAAATGAATGTATATAATTTATGTCATACTCTAGCTAATAGCTATTTTTATTTTTCATTATACAGTCTCAATCTGGTGTAAAAAAAACCTTGTTTAAAGCAATAAGTCCCAGAAAAATAACTCCAAAAAATAGGCCAAAAAATACATTAAAAGTTATTCCGAAACATAAATTGAAAATGACACCATCTAAAAGTTAAATGATGATTTCACCTATCAAAGGTTGGAGAGTGGACACAAATAAACTTTTTTCTAGTAGAAAGAAACTATTTAATAACAACGTAAAAATTATTACCATTTTCAATTGCCTTGATACAAAATTCAAATCTTGTTTCATATGTTGTATTAGATGGAACAGTCTTCATATATTGATGGAATTTCAAACTTGATGAAGTAAACCAATCTGTAGAGATAAAAAGCTTTATAATAATTTATAATACATATATATGATTATAATCATTAATTAATTATACATTTCAAATTAAATTTTTATGTATCTATAGTTTGAATGATAAATTACATAAATTGCAGCTGAAATTAAATAGTGTTGAGCAAGAAAATGTAAATTTGAAATCTGTAATTGGAGATTATGAACATAACTTTCCTGAAAAAGCTTCAAAGTTATTATCAAACATTTTTAGCGAGACTCAAATAAAAATGATAATGAATCCAAAAGGTAAAGTGAAACAATGGTCATCTGAAGATATAGCATCATCAATCACATTGAGAAGTGTATCGCCGAAAGCTTATTGTTATTTGCGTGATAAGTTGAATTTTCCACTACCAGGTATTCTATAACATAAATAAGTAAAATTAATAAACCATACAATTTTAAAAATGTAACTAAATAATGTATAAAATTATAAAAATGTATTAACTAAAATGTAATATTAAAGGATTAAGTACTTTGAGACGATATGCATCAAACTTCAATATGGAACCCGGTGTTTTAACAAGTGTACTGCAATTGATGAAGACTAAAGGTTTGTTGAAGTGTTAACGACTACAATGTAAAAAAAATGTATATATAAATGTATAAAGATTTTAAATAACAACAAAATAAATATTAATAGTATAACCATTGATTAAATATACATAATATTGCCTTGATTAATTGATTGTATTTTATTTAAAAATATATTAGGAATAGACATGACCACTGAAGAGAAACTTACTATTATATCATTTGATGAAATGTATCTATCTCACCAGATTGATTTCGACCGAAAGAAGGAACAAGTAATAGGGCCACATAAATCAGTTCAAGTTGTTATGGCAAGAGGACTGATATCAAAATGGAAACAGCCAATTTTTTATAAATACGATACACCATTGACATCAGAAATCTTATTTGACATAATTGAGAAATTACACGAGGTTGGATTCAATGTTGTCGGTGTCGTCAGTGGCATGGGGCCAACTAACCAAGGATTATTAAAATCAATTTCAGTTTCGTATGAACAACCAAACTTTAAACACCCAATTACAGGTCAAAGGGTACATGTTTTTGCTGACATACCACATCTCATAAAATTATGTAGAAATAATTACCTTGACCATGGTTTCATTCTGAAAGACAATGAAAATGAAACATTTATTGGTATTAATACACTAAATGAACTAATGGAAATAAGCACACAGGATTTAAAATTACCATATAAGTTATCTCACAACCATTTAAATTGTACTGGACCAATGAGACAGAAGGTGAAATTAGCATCACGATTGTTTTCAAACACTGTATCAACAGCTGGTATAAAAGGGAACTATAAAAAATTCAAATTGGAAAAATGTAAGTTCACTTCTATAATACTAAATATTTGATTATAATTATATTTACATTTTTTTGTTTTTAGGTATCTGAAACATTTCAAATCATTGACCAATGGTTTGATTTATTCAATACACAAGTACCAAGAACAACTAAGTGTCTTGCATATGGGCTGGACAAAGACAATCAGGATGACATATTACAGAAAATGGACAAACTTATGTTAACTATGGGCGTTTATCAGTCTAAATATCCAAGGAAAACTTTAATGCCATTTCAAAAAGGAATTCTTATGAGCAATAACTCCTTAAGGAATTTATTTGCAGACATGAAAGAAATGTATAACATAAAATACATTATTACCAGGCGTCGTCTTAATCAAGATGTATTGGAAAAATGTTTTAGATTTTTTGCGAGGAAGGGTGCAGCCAATACACACCCAACACCTTTAAATTTTCGATACAGGTTAAATTAATTAATTGTAATCTTATAATAAAAAAATGTATGTAAATAATCAAAACCAATTGTAATATTCCTAATTTACTGTTTTAAATGGTAAGTATACAAGTAAGTATAAAAGCAATGTTAAAATAAATTTGATATTTTACTTGCTTAACATATTTCCAGGCTACGGTGGTACATTTTGGGGAAACATTGTAGTGCTGTTTTTACATCGAATAGGAATACAGAAGAAAGTCAATCTGAAGAATGCCTCATTGATTCAAGTACTGTTTTTGTCAGTGACATATTGAAAGAGGCAGATATTATTTGTGAGCCTGAAAATAATGAAATTAATGAGACATTCATACAATTATTAGATGAATATGAACTAGATGTAAGAAATAAAATTAAAAACAACAACATATACTTACTAATCCATAGATTATCATATATTCATAATATATATTAATTTCTAAGTCGCTGCTCAAAATGAATACTCACCAGATGAAAAATTTGACAACAGACAAAGATGACAGTCTTACGTTACCATATAGCAAACAAATTCCAACACAAACATCCTGATTTAGTTGATACAAATACCAATAATTTGAATGACTGGATTAAAGCAAAGGCATTTGGTACATTAACTCAACCATCAACTAAATTAATAAGTACAGGAAGAATCATTGAAGGTTTATTTAAAAAAATGAATGGCAAAGGTATTACTATCATAACATTTTCGTATAAGACTAAGACACTTAATAAAAGTATTTGTATTTTTTAGATGACATTAAAAAAATAGCAGGACTTATAACCGAATTAAGGACAATGACAAAAGATACATGTCGACAATCAACATACATGATACCTGATGAGGTACTGAATTTGATTATTCAAACAAGAATATTCTTTAGAATTAGGGAAATAAATAAAAAACAAAAAACAAAGTGCATACTATTAATCAACAAAAGAAAAAAAATACAGAAATTTGTAAAATTATATTATGTAATATTATTATTATTTGTAATAATATTGTACTGCTATAATGCAAAACGCATGACCTCACTTGACTTTATTTTTATTGCCTACTCCATGTCCTTACAAAATATGCGGGGTCGTTATAAATACAGTCGATTACGGCCATAGACATAATAAGATATGGACTTCTACTCCCCCACACCCTGCCTTAAGTTTATTGAAATAAGATTGTTAGAAAGAGATAGTCAATATAATATGTGTAATGTAATGTGACCCGACTACCTAAGGTGTATGCTATCTTTTTCTAAAAATGTTGTTATCTTTGTTGTTGAACTATTCTCCCTCTCTCTTTTATTAATTGGTGTAAATGGTACCCAAGTTGTATGTTATCTTTTTCTAACAATGTTGGCCCCTGGATCTCTCTCTCTGTTATCAGTCCATTTCTTTATAGGTCTGTGGTAATACCGGGCGTTGCCACTGTCGTGGCCCGAAACGTGGTTCGGGTGCGCCGGATATTACTTGTGCTTGAAACCAAGATCAGAAGGTAAAATCAAAAGTAACAACTTCGACGTTCGATCGACGGCGTATAATTTTTAGACACAAAAAATAATTATAAAACAAAAATGACATACAACGGTAAACTTAGTTAAGTACAGAAAGGGCGAGTCTTCGGGACGTGTGGCTGCTTGAGTTGAGAGCGAAAAAGCGAGTGACGAGAGTAGCGCGCGACGGCGGCTTCGAGCGCGTAACGGCGAAGTCGCCGCGCGAGGCGGGAGAAAAAGTCGAGCGGCGAGTTGTCACGTGACCAAAGACGGTACAACATTTTATAATAAAATTCACAGAGATGATAAATAAACGAATACAAAATAAATCACATGACGAATACAATATGAAAATGGTAGTACAAAAAAGGGCGCACTAGCGTAAGTGGTGATAATCACTTGTGGTGAATCACCACAGGTCTATGATTACGGCACCAAAGTGTTATCATTTTTTTTTTTATCAATGTTATCACATACTATGAGATAATAATAATTTTCATCATTCCTACCATGAAGACTAGAGATAAGGAGGCCAAACTCTACCACAAAAAACGTCCAGTAAAACATAGCGCACTAATTTCTCCACCAGTCTGCGTGGCGGTCAAATCCGAGGCTGGCTCGGAGTATAATTAACCCGTATTAGATAGGGACATACTCGACTTTATTACATTTAAAAAATTATAATTAAAAAAATAATAATAGTATTTAAATTAAAATTACACCATCGTATTCAGCGCAAATTTATCTTTACGTTTACATAATTATTATATAGAATTAGGTATTTTACAATATAATTTATTTCGTCTCATCAGCACATACTCATTAATTAAACCACCAAAAAATAGTAATGTAACTGGTGGAGAAATGATTGAAACATTAATAAATATTCAAGATTTATCAAATGTGAATGTAACAAAAGATACACTAGAAGCAGAGTTAGATTCAATTATAGACAAAGGCCAGTTTGAAGAACTTCCTGACGTTATAGCATTAATGCATGACCATGATTATAGGTCTACCAGTACTTCAAGTCAAGTATTATCATACTTAGCAGGTTATATAGCTAGAAAGGCAAACCAATTCACTAAGTGTAAAAAATGTCTCTCTAGTTTAAGAAACGATTGTTTGTCTTCATCTAGAGACAAACTTATAGACATGCGATCAAAGGGCAACTTAATACATTCATCAAATAATCTATTTAATTTAATTTCTACTTTCAAAAAATCGACACTAGAAGCATTAAAAAATGAAGAACTTAATATGAATACTTTACTAACTATTACGGAAATGATTGAACAAGGGGATTCAATCCAATTGGTCGGTTGTGTAGATCATAAAGAAGAATTTTCTAAAGCCATTGTGCGATTTTTTTTAATAATGCGCATGTGTTTTATTGTCAAAAGAGCCAATTATAAAGATACGATGACTAGCAGAGAAAAAACAAAAAAAAACAGGAAAGTATCTAAAC